GCAGGAGTTCAATGCCACAGCATTACAAATTTGATAGAACAAAATCAGACTCCTCTTTGGGAGGGTAACAGAATCTACTCTTGTCAACCATTAGCCTGTTTTTAAGTCCAGAAGCAACTATTATGAGCATGTAGTGTGATATTCTGCATAACGCAGACATTAGAATTTCACACAGCAGTTCCTGCAGCCACTCCATGTGGTCGAATTAGCACATACGTTTTAGAAAGGCATCCAATCTGGTATTGCCCTAGCTGTTAACGTGCTTATTTCCAATTTGAACTCTGCTTATTTAAGCTTCCAGCCATGAGATCTTGTTGTGTTCTAGATTTTGCAGAAGAATTCAACTATTTGGATGAGAGCACAGACCAGCACAGAGCAAGTTTCCATTGATTGACTTCTATTTTCAGGTGGCTCAGGGCTTCTGAAAAAAGCAGATCCTTTGCTTTTATGCCCCACGTGTTAAGACTGTGAAAGCTGAATTTTAAGAATATAACAGAATATCAATTGCATAAATGCAGATGAGTCTGGCCCACAGCTTACAGAAGTGGATCTATGTGTTCCTAAAGTGAATGTGATGGGTTGAGAAAGGGGGGTAGACTTAGAAAAATATTTGTGTTGGGTGGTATTCAACCTTTTTTAACATTTGCATAAATGACTGAATCCTGGCTATGTGCTAAGTTCTAGGATATGGGGATCTGGTGTGCCCATCTGCATTCAAAAGCCTAAATGTTTGTAAACCAGATGATAAATCTTTAAAATTCTCCCTTTGATAGAACAAGCACAACTCATACTTGAAGTTTGGATATTCCAAAATATTTCTGCCAGATTTCCTTCTATTGTCTAAAAACTGAGGTTCATCTTGGGAAGGACTTAAAAATAGAACAACAACATGCGACACAAAAATAAACAAGAGTAGCATGGAAGAGATAAGTATGCATGGTGGCAAAATCATGAACCAGTTAAAATGGAAATATCAACGTGTTTTTACAACATATACCTGAAATTCACAGCTAACTGAAAAGAAAGAAGGTTAGTAATAAACTCCCACCTCACAAAGATGTTTTGAGGAAACTCCATATGTAGCTGGGAGGTGCTGGGATACTGCTGTGAAGAGGGCCATTCATGTATCCACAGAGAACAAGGCCAAGATACCTGCCCTGCTAGCTTACTGCAGCATAGATGACCCAATATTTTTTAAAGAAATACGTCACACTGAAATTAAAAAAATGTAACAGGACAGTCTGGGATATTTCTTTGTGCAATCTCTGTTTTAAATTACAAAAATTCATGTCTTAATTCAGAGCAAACTTTCTAATATGCTTAGTATGAAAATGTCAAAGTTTAAAATTCAATATGAATCCAGGCAAAAAAACCTTCTTGAAAACATGAGATTCTGACAAGTCCAATTTAATAAAACCACTGACATGCCTGATTTCTGGCCAGCTTGTTTCTTCTAGCATTTGCATTAATATGACTTTGGGACTGCAGTATTGTCTGTCTCACTGAAACCACAGAGCTAAAATCTAAATGACTGGAATGTTTGAGACTGTGTGTTTCATTTTGTACTTGCAAGTAAATATTTTTGTTGGTTGGAATCATAACTGTGAGCCATAGCAGACATTTTGGTTTTCCCACATAAGTAACATGGATAATTCATGACACAGCATAAGTCCCATCTTTGGCAGCCACATGCACGCCCAGTGGCGGCAACTGCACACCATCATTTTTCTCTAGGAATGTAATAGTTTGTTAGCTCACTAAGGCACTATTTTAAAAACCCACACTCACTTATTATACCTAGCAACTACATTTTATATTCAGTCTTGACATTCTTCACATACTCTGCAAAGGAGATAATTATAGGGGGCCATTTAAATAGTTGGCTACATACATCACTATATATTTAGTCTTAAAAAAATAATCTCTAAGACTTGTGTTTTCTGAACATTTTCCCTAGTTTCATGTTGAGAAAACAACAGCTCTGCAAACACAAAGAATAATTCTGGCTCATACACTCCACTCTACAGGGAGAAAGGCTAGGTTTGTGGTTAAGGATGTCAGGGCATTTAGGATCTATTCCCACCTCAGCCACAGACTTGCCATGTGACCTTGGGCTAATTACTTAATCTCTTCTGCCTCAATTTATCTGTAACACGGGGAAAGTAGCTTACAGAGAAGTTGTGACACTTGACTAATTTTTATGATTGTTAACCTAGATTTTCACAAATGACTAACAATTTTGAGTGTCTCAACTTTTAGGCATGCTCAACCTGTAAGAGAATAAAAGGGGAATGATTTTAAAAGGTTGTTTATGCACAACAATTCCTGAAAATCAAGTTGACAGTCCCAGGCATCTATAAGCATTCATCATTCTTGGCTACTGAGATATGTATTAACAGGAAAACACAAAAAAATGCATATAAATGAAAAAAAGCATTAAGGGGTAAAGCTTTCAAAAATGCCTACGTGCCTAATTTTCAGGCGCGTCTCAGGTTCCTGATGTGCTCAGTTCCCATTTCCAGTTCAGGAAACAAAGTTTTATCTTAAGTCTAAATTTGGTTATCATCAAATCACTGATGATTTTTGTAGGGTTTCATTGTGTAAAAACGTACACATTTCACTTTGGAAGAACAAACATCAATAAATTGGGGAACCAATGAACAATTGGGAGACTGGGAACAGACAAAACAGAAACAAACCATTCAAAACAAATTTACAGAATCACCCAACTGCACTCCACAGGATTAAGGAAGGATGTGAGAAAATGCTCATTTAGAGCACTCCCATTGCTACTGACAGTTCATGTAAAATGTCTGTGTGTGACTTTGTGAAATATGAGATAGAAACAAAGGTAAATGAATTACCAGTAAACAGAAGACTTATTTACAGCAGTTAGCATTAAGTTAAGCAAAAACAGGATATGTAATGTTGAATTTAAAAAGCTCAGAATTGAAATATTCAAAGCCCGCTGCCCACACTACCATCTCACTCTCATACCCCCCAAATCCTCCTCCTTTCCAGCATTTAAAGGTTTACACTGAAAGCTCTGTTTCGCCTAAGGCAGCAGCTATCGGATCTGAGCTAACATCCTTTAAAATCAAATCAGTACACTTACACCAAATTTCAACAGGCTTTGAACTGAGCCCATATACCGTCAAGATATCATGGTGAAAACCTATAGAAACTGGAAGAGGAGGTTGACACATTCTGCTCTTATTTTGGTTGGTTGATTTTAATGAAAAGCAAAGATACAGGGGGATGGAATTCTGAAACAGTTGCTATTTCAGCAGTTTTCACGCTTTTAGGGGCTGAGTTCTCAAATCTTTTGTCTCGCAATTTTTGGTTGCATCTTCCCAATCCAGACAAAAATAGACATGCAAAGGTATGCTTGGTGGCCTACTCATCAATCTAACAGAAATGTTGATACAGCTTTAATTAAATTATCTACACCTGTAAGTTTCAGAAACACAGATACTTACCAATGGCACAGTCAAGGCTTCCTCAGCAGCATGGCTACTTTTATCTTGCAGCCAGACTATGCTGCTAGGGCTGGGACAACACCCGCCCCTCCTCCACAGGGTTCTCAAAGTGGAGAAAGGCACATGCAGTGGTCTCTGGGATGCAGCCAGCACTGGGTGCAAAGGCTGCTGGGAGTGGAAACTTGTGTGGTCATGGCAAATGTTGACACTGACCCACATGGCAGGGTAGCACTCTGAAATGAGTCGGGGGGGGAGGGGGTCAAGGTGGTGCTCCCTGCCCTACACCACAATGGGACCTGGCCCAGGTCCTTCTGTGCAGGGATGGTATGAGCTGCTTAGCTTCAGCGCTTGCCCCCTCCCCGAATGCTTGGTTTGGATAAAGGAATGTTAAGCCGCGGTATGAGCTTAACAGTATGCACAGCTGCCACCGCATGTGATCTATCAGCAGGTGAAAAGATAAACCCTGTAAACATACACAAGATAAAAGACAGCACCATACTTGAGTGTTTAAACTAACCTGACCTTGCAGCTTGAGAATAACTAATGGACCCTGGATAATTTTTCTATTGCTCTAAAAACCTAGAAAACAAATGTTTGCAAAAGCAGCAATTGCCAGCACACCATGCACACAGATTTACACACAGCAGCACATTACAGATATTAATACAAATGCAGAGAAAATATAAAGTCTGTTTTCCCCATTTCATTCAATAAAATTTGCACCTGACTTTGCCTGCTAATGACAGGCTTTCCTCTATGCATTGTAACATGTGCATAGTAATGGAATTATAATGTCTACCTCATTTGCAGTTTTGAACACTTATCTTCATACATTTCTCCATTGAACAGTATGCTTGTGTGGTCTCTGTCTACTGAATAGAGTCATAACACCTCAGCTTTATTCCCCAAACTGTAGCTATACAGAGGTTTCTCCTTTAGTGAGAGGGGTTTGTGATTTTGGAATAGGAAGATCTGGGGTACAATCCAGATGTCACTAAAAAGTTTTGCATGGCAACAGTAATATATGTAAGCACACTGTGAAGTTCTGTGTGGTCATGGATGATGGTTTGGGTTGGGGGTTGTTGTTTTTTTCATTTCTACAGAACAGCTTTTTCCTAGAAAGCAACCCTTAAGAAAAAAAATCCTCTGAAGATACAGCAACAAATCTGGTTTTCTAGCTTCATATGAGAATCAAGCTATGGTTTCAAAGCATTTTTCCAAAGTTTTCAGATGGTCATTTCTTCCAGGTGTTGTGTCTGTATGTGTCTCATCTAACCACCCTCAGCAAGAGAAATCACCATCTTGTGTCCAGATTACACAACACAGCATAAATAGTAAATCCACGTAGGTTTGATCAAAATAAGTGCTGACCACTTAGCACTCAACTCTCACTGAAATCGATGGGTGTGGAAAGTGCACAGCATGTCATAAGAAGAGCTCAGCACCTCAGATGACCAAACTACATATGGAGGTCCTTCAACATTTAAAACATGTAAATGGAAGAAAGGAATAAAAGTGACATTTTTATCAATTAAGCCTTCTATTTTACTCCTACTCATAATTGCATACACTCCTGTTCGTGTCTCTGTGCATTTAAAACGTAACAATTGCATCAGTCATTTACTGCTTACAGTACAATTTATATTAGACATACTATTCCATGCATGTAGTTCTGCATTACATTCCCAGTCCAACATAGAAACAATAAACAAACAATCACTAAAACAGATTGTTCTCTGCACATCTATTCACATGTAAGGATTGCATACAGGAGACGTGATTTATGAAGATCATTTGACTATCACACCAAGTCATGCTGCTGGGGCAGACAATGGAATATCATGGTCAAATAAAAATGAAGAGCTAAAACAGAATGGCAAACATCTCAGGCCAACAGTGACTGGCAGCCTCATTTGGCAGGATGATCACACTTAATTCATCAACTAGATAGATGATAAAAACAGCAAGGAGAAAAGCTGTTTAAGGAGGTTAAGGACTCTAATAACCAGGACTCAGAGTAACTGGCTTACACTAAACTAAGAAAAAATTGTGCTATCTTCCTACTGCATCAGACTAGGGGGGACCTAGTCAACTGTGCAAGAGTCTTGCTGTGGAAGACTGGGGAAAAAAACTTAGAAAAAAGGGGATAATCCTGGGATTCCAAAGGGACAGAGTAGACGACCTAATACGCTCTCTGCCCCTCCCTCATTTCTGATACAATAAGTTTAACCAGCACTGGAAAGCACCACAAAGACGACATCCCATGAAAAAAGGGAGTATAGAAATGGGGCAGACAGTAGGTTTAGACTGTATAAAAATAAAAGAAAGCTTCTGATGCCACAGAGTGCACAATGAATTAATTAAAAGGTGGGCTAGTAGGAAACACACAGGTGATAGCATGTGAGGTGACCACACAGACACATAATGATTTTGTGAGTGACTTAAAGATCAACTTACATTTGTTCCACAAGTTCAACTACACAATGGGCGAGAAAATTCTTTGCTCCCAAAGCATGTTCTAGACAACATTGGAAAGTGGATGGTACAGACACATGCTATTGAGATCAAATGCCCCAAACTCCAGACAAATTCTGCTTCAGCTGCCAGCATTAGAGAGAAAACAGGAAAGAAAAAAAACTATTCAGGAAAGGGAATGACAATTGCAGAGCTACTTAAAATCCTTTGTTGACTAAATGGATCAGGGAAATTAGAAACAGAAGCAACCTACTATATCAAATAATCTGATCCTTGCCATTGTCACTGCAGGATGGATCCTGCCAGTGTATTTGGGGCTGATTTTATCTATTCTAGTTATAAAGCTCTCAAGTAAGGGACTTGACATGTGTTAAACATCCATCACAAATGTGTTAGGTGATTTAATGGTGACCTGATCTGAAAAGTCCAGTGAAATGCCTTGTTAGGAGTGATACTAAGGTATAAATGGGACACACAGTCACCACTTACCACATCTTTTAGGATTTATGTATGTATTATGAAAAAGTTATTTACCCAAGAGTTAGGTGGGTCACCAAAGCAAGTGGTACCATGTGAGACCTATAATTGTTAAAATGCATTTATTTAGGTAAGTGTGTGACCACTGAAAATTTCAGCGATTACACGCTTACATGCAAGGGGAAGTGGCTCCTGCCTGCCCTTCTCCCCACACTGCTTCCTTTGATACAGAGGAAGCCAGGGAAGGGGAGGGCAGTCTTCATGTAACTATGCATGTTAACCAATGAGCACATGCTCATATTAACCGTGTACACGTTTATTCTTTCACATCCCTAGTGTATCACAATAATTTGATGGGAAAAAGTACACGGGCTATGATAGTGACCAATAGAACGTATACTCAAGCTTCTATGGATTACGGTAAGAACTGAGAGGGGCCCAGCACCTTGCAGGATTGATCCCACCCAGCTCAAATGAAAGTGAAATGATCCCCAATGATTTTGGTGCCACATCCTATCCCACATCCACTCCCTTGAATTTAAACACAATTTATTATATCCGGGTACAGTTTATGAGGAGAAGCCTGAACATGATTGCTTGCTTTCCATCTACCCAAAATGGATAAATGACTACATGTTGCACTGGGGTTTCCACTAAAATTCTTGCAAAGATAAACAAACTCTGGCTCGGTGTGAACCAACAGCTTCTACCCACATTTACTACAGGAGAAGGGAAAACAAGGCTTGTCAGAATGCAACAGAAGAGCTCATTTTCAAAGCAAGATGATGATATTGTGTCTGAAGCAGAGCTTAATTATTCCAGATTGCAAAACAAAGGCACGATTGTTCCATCCAAAATTATACTGACCTTGATAATGTTATCAATATCATACAACCACAACATGGACACAGCCCTTAGCACTCACCAACAAAAGGAAATTGTCTGTATCACAATCTCCAGCTTTGACCTGAATTTAAATAAGTAGTTTTGAATAGGAATGTATCATTATGAACATTTAGTAAATACAACAAGGTTAGCATCATATTTCAATAAAAATAGTGTTTCATCTTCCCTTATTACAAAAAGGCTGAGCATCTAGAGCACGAGTGCCTAATTCATTCAAGAATTTCAAGGCACTGATCTTGGCACACACGGAAAGCCAGAATAGGCAGTTCCATTATTTATGGTGCAAAAGAGCAGCAAGCACAATGGTTATAAGTGTTTGCATTTTAAAGTGCACTGTCGTCTTAATACTCCCTTCCTTCTTAAAAAATTAAATAAAATTATAACTCCTTGCCCTGATATAATTAATAAAAGTAACAACTGCATATTCCTATCAAACAATTCTAAAAATCAAGTCAAATTAGAAGAATTTAAATATTTTTAAAAGGGGTTGATTATAAAAAAAAATCCCTGTACAAGTCCTCTGTATTGTAAGTGGTGTTCAAAAGTAAAATCGAAACGTCAACCAAAATGTTATATGCTTTGTTATAAATTTTCAGGTTAGTAGTACTTTACAGAAAATCCATTCCACTTCACTGCAGCATCAGCCCGCCAGCTGATAACCTTATTGCAAAAAATGGTATGAAAAAAATTAGTCCTCGCGTATGTCTGTCATCTACACAGTTGCAGGTGTGGATGCTGGTGCAGCTTTTCCATCAGCTCTTCCTCTGTAGGTTCTTGCAAAACATCCCTACAAAGCAAAAAGCTTAAGTTGCTTGGGCAGCAAAGGAAATTTTTCAATATTTTTTGCAACATAAGTACTGAGATATAATGTGCTTATTTCAAGACTGGAGCAAAGAATTGAAATTAAAACAGGCTGATGCTCCCTAATGATACATCTAGTTGTGAGTGATCCATCCTTCTACAGATGTGTCATAGAAAGCCAGCAACTGTTTTCCCATAAGGAGAAGGGAAGCAATTTCCTGCACACAGTGCAACATAACTGAGGTCAATAGATGAGTTTCCCTGAAAAAGCTTGTCAAATGAGAACATGCTCCCAGTCCCAACGCTGCCATTGCACATTACATTTGTATGACAACGTCTACTTATGCAACATGATCAACTCTCCACCCAGAGCTTAACATAAAGCCAAGAATCTGGATCATTTTATCCTTCCCAACTAGAATAGTTTTTCATTACTAGCACCTCTTCTCCCAACATCATAGGAGTGGAAGTTTCTTGGCAGGCATAAGTAAAGCATCTTCAGGACTGCTCCAGGTGAACAATTGAAAGATTTCCACTCTTACTTAACATGCTTGAAGCAAACCTCACATCTTGTTCCTGTCTGGGACAAGGTCTTTGAAAAAGGAGATTAGCAGCCTTAAAAATAGGTTCTCATTAGCCACATACTCCCAGTGTGACTCACCTGAACATTAATTCCACCGTGGTCTGGTATTCAATTTCTGAGAGAGACCGCCGATGGGAGTGACGGTCCCACTTGTGAATAAAGTTCTGCAATTGGAAGGAGAAAGGGAAATAAAAGGCTAGTTTCAGTATCTTTAGATATAAGGTTTAGGTTTTATATTTTCTGCATGGTTGAGATGTATAAATCTAAATAAAGTCCAGAACAGGAATGTTCTTAGAAACGAAGCCTTCAGTACGGTTCCTCTTTATGAATACAAACCAGACAGCAATGCATCCACATGCAGTTGCCTATGCATATCAATAAACCAAAATAATACTAATACACCAAATAATAAACCATAATAATAAACCAAAATACTACTTCTACACTTCACTGAATTAACATAACACTTCAACACATCCCTTCAAGGTAAATCACTGCTTATATTTCTGTGCCTCAGATAGGGATGAGTAACTTTGTTCATGGTCACACAGTGAGAGAATGGTGGAAGTAAAAATAGAGCAAAACAACTTCAGGACTCCTGCTTTCTATGCAATGTACAAATTGCATTTCCTGATTTTAATATCCACATTTTTTAAATGTTCACATTTCTAAAGTGCTCCTGCAAGCATTCACCAGTTGAGGTTCCCCCCCGCTTCCCCGCCCCTCAGCCATTTCTTTTACATACTCCAAGTTAAAATGTCACGGCTTTATCAAAGAAAGAATACATTTTCTTGCTTGTCTGCTTGCTTTGATTTATACAGTAAAACTACAGTGGTCCAGCATCCAATGGTCAAGCACTCCTGCACAATCTGGAACCCGGAAGTGCTCCGGGCAGCCGGACAATTGGAGCTGCTCTGCCCCCGGCTTCCCCGATTCAGCCGCTGCTGAAATTGACCGGGTTG